AGATCAGCCGCACATCATCAGGCGGCAGTTACAAGAAATAAAACAGAACGTAGACGAAACATTAGAGGAATTCGCTGAAAGAATTGAAGAGCTTACAACTGAAGGCTACCCGGACACCCCAGAGTACTTTAAGAGCACCATTACTATTGATGCCTTCCTAAGGGGCTGTACTGAGAAAAGAGCGGCACTGGTCACTTTAGACAAAGATCCAAAAACACTAGATGAGGCAGTACAACTTTTGAAAAGTGCCATCACTAACCAGAAGTTAATAATGGGGCCTAAAAAAGAAGTCAGAAGAGTTACCTTTGAAGAGAAATCAGAAGAAATTCCACCTATAATTAAACACCAAGAAGATGCGAGCATAAGGGTTATCAACAGAACAACACCTAAAACTGTACCTTCAATGGAGACAAGAATGACAGCTCTAGAAAATGACAACAAAGAGTCCAAGAGATTGCTTATGGAAATTTTAAAAAGACTGAAGGTGACTGAGGCAGAGAGGGAATCAAGACCAAGATACAGATCACCATCACGGTCTCCTACAAGATACAGATCACCATCACAATCTCCTACAAGAGATGGTCAATCAAGATCATATAGTCCTGAGAGAGAGAGAAAGAGTGAATGTTTCAAGTGTGGTGAGATAGGTCACTATGCAAGAGACTGTTTACATCAAGCATACTCAAGACAAAGATCACCTTTACAAAACAGATCACCTTCACAGTCACCCATAAGATCACAAAGAAATTTAAACTTTCAAGAGCTGAGGAAGTAGGCCATTCTTCAGCTCACATCAATACACCAAGGCCAGAACCCCATACTAAATTTAAATCCCATAAAATGTTTGAGTACAAAACCCTTTATGTTCCAGTTAAGGTTCAAAATGTTACAACAGATGCTGTACTAGATACTGCAGCACAAATTTCTGTTATTAGTACAGATCTTTACAAGAAATTAATTCCTAATCCAGAAATCAAAGGTCATGTTCTTTTAAAGGGTATAAGCAAAAGCAATTTAGACTCTAAGATCTGTCAGAATGTACCTTTATCATTAGGAAATATCACAACTAGGTGGAACTTTGTGGTTGCAAATATAGAAGATCCCATTATATTAGGCCTTGATTTTTTAGAGCACAATAAGGCAAAGATAAATTTGCAAGATTTTTCTTTGTCCATCGGAAATTGCAGCATCTCTGCAAAATGTGTTGCAAATGAAAACAAAGAAAAGATAAAAATTTTCAGAGTTCAAATGAAAAAGAAAGTTGTGATTCCACCAAGATCTAGTATTTATACACAAATTAGATTTGACAAATTACCTGACTTTGACATTGTTATAAGTCCTTGTAAGATTCAAAAAGGGCTGTTGTCACCAAATTGTGTCAATAAATATGATCAAGATTTCATTCTAATGAAAAACCCAACAGACAGATTTATTACTGTTGAGAAAAATTCAGATGTGGGTATTGGAATGCAGTTAGATCAAGTTATAGATTCAGAAGATTCAGAGACAAATAATGATAATGAAGAACAAGTTGATATCAGAATTTTAGATGTTGACAATATGAGTTTAGAGCAAATTAAGAAAAGCATTCCAAAACATCTAACAGACATGTTTGAAAGATCAATTCAAAATCTTACAAAACAACAATGTATTATATTTGCAAAATTTATTATTTCTTATCAAGAAGTTTTTGCAAAAAATGAATTTGATATGGGTTCATTTAATGGTGACATAAAGCACAAAATTGACACAGGTACTGCAAAACCAATCCGACATAAGTTACGAAGAACTCCATTATGCTTTGAAAAAGAAGAAAAAGAGCATTTAGATCAAATGTTAGAGAAGGGTATTATTGAACCATCTTCGTCAGACTGGGCGTCATCTCCAGTACTTGTTAGGAAAAAGGATGGTAGTTTACGATATTGTATAGACTTTAGATCTTTAAACAAAGTGACTACCAAAGATGCTTTTCCTTTACCTAATATGAATGACTGTATAGAATCACTTAGGGGTAGTTATTTTTTGAGTACCCTTGACATGCAAGCTGCATATTGGAATATTACTGTACACCCAGATGACAAACATAAAACAGCTTTTATCACAAAGTATGGTTTATTCGAACACAATAGGCTTCCATTTGGTCTATGTAATAGCCCAGCAACATTCAGTCGGGTAATCCAGTTAGTATTACAAGGTTTAACATGGACTGAGTGTTTAGCTTATTTAGATGACATTTTAATATTAGGTTTTGATTTTGAAGATCATTTGAAAAAATTAGGCCATGTGCTTTCACGTTTTAAACAATACAATCTAAAATTCAAACCAAAGAAATGTCATTTTTTCCAAAAAGAGGTCAAATTTTTGGGCAAAATTGTTAATGGCAATGGAGTTATGATAACACCTGAAAATATAGAAACAATGAAAACATGGCATGTACCTACAAATGTGAAAGAATTAGAGTCTTTTTTGGGATTTGTAAATTATCACCGAGATCACGTAAAAAACTTTGCTGAATATGTTGAACCTTTACACAAATTAGTCGGTAAAAAGTCAGAATTTAAATGGACTGCTGAACATCAAGAAGCATTTGAAAATTTAAAAGATTCTCTTTTACATGCTACTGTTTTGCATCATCCAGATCCTAATGAAATATTCATATTAGACACCGATGCTTCTGATAAGTGTATTGGAGCAGAATTGAGTCAAGTTCAAAATGGTACAGAAAAAACAATTTGTTTTGCTAGTAAAGTTTTAACACCTCAACAAAGAAAGTACTGTACAACGAGAAAAGAACTTTTATCTATTGTTGTTTTTGCAAGACAATTCAGACATTATTTATTAGGAAGACGTTTTGTAGTTAGGACTGATCATAATAGTCTTATTTGGTTAATGAACTTTAAGAACATCCAAGGTCAGTTAGCTAGGTGGTTAGAAGAACTAGCACAATACAATATGGTTATCCAACATAGATCTGGTAAACACCATCAAAATGCTGATGCATTATCAAGAATTCCTGACCCAGTACCATCATGTAATGACTATAAATCAAATATTCCACTGAGTTCTCTTCCATGTGGAGGTTGCCCTTTTTGTACTAGAGCTCGAAAACAATGGGAAACTTTTGAGGAGGATGTAGATTATGTAGTGCCCATATCAGTAAGAGCTACAAAAACAAGTTCAAAAGATCAATTTGCAAACATAGAATTAGACAATGAAATAATCAAAAATGCACAAGAGCAAGACTCGGACCTTAGTCAAATTGTGTTGTGGTTAACAAACAAATATGAACCATCTATTCAGGAACTTCAGCTATCCAGTATGACCGTTAGATATTTTTGGTTATGTAGATCACAACTACAAATAAAAAATGGTATTTTGTATTATTTGTGGGAAGACCCTTTAATACCGAAGTTACTTTATGTAGTTCCAAAAAGTCTGAAACAAAATGTACTGGAGTTATGTCATGATATTCCTCTTTCAGGGCATTTAGGGCAAACAAATACACTAGAAAAACTAAAGAAATGTGCTATATGGTATAATATGCGTACTGACTGTAAGGAATATGTAAGATCAGGTGAGGTTTGCAATAGAAATAAAAAACCAAATGTTAAAGCTAGAGGGCAATTAGGGCAGTATCATTCCGGTATCCCAATGGAAAGAGTCCATATGGATATTTTAGGCCCTTTACCTGAAACAAAATTAGGGAATAAATACATTCTCATGATCATATACCAATTTACTAAATGGGTTGAATGTTTTCCTTTACCAAATCAAAAGGCTGAGTTTATAGCTAAGACATTGGTAGACAATTTCATTTGTAGACTAGGTTGCCCTTTAGAATTACACACTGACCAAGGTAAAAATATGGATGGTAATATTTTGCGAAATATCTGTGATCTCTTACAAATTGCTAAAACGAGAACTACACCATATCACCCAGCTTCAAATGGTCAGATAGAAAGATATAATCGAACAATTTTACAAGCTTTAAGATGCTACATAAAAAATAAACAAGATACCTGGGACTCATATTTACAACAACTGGCAGGAGCAATTAGAGCTACAAAGAACAGACAAACAGGGTTTACACCAAATCAAATGATGTTAGGAAGAGATGTTATACAACCCTTAGACATATTTCTTGGTACAACAATCAATACAAAAGAAACAGATGCAAATGAATATGTTTCAAAATTAAGAGCAAATTTGGAACTTATTCACAAAGAAGCCAGAGATAATCTCAAATCTTCACAACAAAGACAAAAAAGAGATTATGACCTGAAATCTTTTCAAAGTACATATCAGATAGGAGATGTTGTATATAAATTGAATTCAGCCACAACTGTTGGCCAAAGTCCAAAATTAAAATCCCCTTGGAAAGGCCCTTACATCATTTCAGAAGTTAAATCCCCTGTTTTGTATAAAATAAAAAACAGAAAGAGAGAGGAAGTTATTCATTATGACAGAATTAAGCTTTGTCAAGATCGAAACCATCCTTTATGGTTATCTCGATTAAGAAATCAAATTCTTAAAATATGTGATTTTGATCAAGAAACTGATTCTGACAATGTGTTCAACCTTTCAGAACTTTTTAATGGACAAGAAAATGATTTTTATGATGATAGTGAAGAATTGTCTGGAGATCAACAGGCAGTGGAGTCGGATACTCTGATACCATTGTCTTGTGATGTCTTAGATAATTCTAAAAACAAACCAGAGAGAAATAGGAGAAAACCTAGATATTTGGCTGATTATGATCTTGATGATTAATGTTTTATTGTAGTATATATATATATTTTATGACATGTATAGTTCGACTTACAGACTCAGCCTAGATATTTTATCCATAATATGTAATGAATAAGTACACTTATTCTAAAAAAAAAAAAAAATAAATAATAATAATAATAATAAAATATATATATATGTATATAAATATTAGGTACTAACTGAGTATCAAAATACACTTGTGAATATATTCAGTGTTTTATTTAGTTAGAATGGAAGAAGAAAGGGACTTCGTTCCTGATTATGAACCCGAGTATGATCAACTACTCAGTCCTCCATCTAGGGTGCCTGGTTCGGCTACGAGTAAAAGAGGGAAACCATGCCCAATCTGTATGGCAAAATTTACACATGTAAAGCGCCATGTCATAAAAGATCATTTACCATGGTATACCTATCCCTCTACATGCTGTCCAACTTGCAGAATTAACTTTGGCCAAAAACACTTTTTAGATGTGCATGTGGAAAATCAACATAACAATAATAGCCCTTCACAACAGTTTGCCCATTTCTGGATGGATTTTATGTATTACCTATTCTTACAAATTATTCACATTTTGAAATTAGAAACTTTTGAGAATCTATTTAAATTCATTAACAGCAATGAACAGTTCAGTTGTTGTAAGGGATCTGTTTTTCAAGAAGATGATCTTGTTCTAGGTGAAAAATTTTTAAAAGACAAGTTTCCAGGAGTAACTGTTTCAAAAATACCTTTTCCAGTAGTTAATGCTTCATCTCTTTTACACTGGAAGATTTTAAGCAAACTTATTGATATTTCTAACTGTACAGACCTTCTTTTTAAAGTGTATAAAAAGTATGTAGTGTGGATTTTAGGTTCATCAATTGTACATTGGGCTGCTCAGAGAGCAATTGACATTGGTATAGAAAATCTTGAATTTGAAAGGACAAAATTGAGCATTTTTTGGCATGGAATAAGGGGCATGAAATGGGAAAGTTTATTGGATACTGTTTCTTTTTGTGAATCAAAATTTCCTCTGCCAGATTTCATTATTATACACTTAGGTTCAAATGATATCAAATTGGGATGTTCAAGAAAACTATTATCACACATGCAGAAAGATTTAGCTGAAATTAGACAGAAGTTTCCAAATTGTAAATTGATTTTTTCAGAACTATTAACAAGGCTTATTTGGAGGGGTTTAAATTGGGAAGAAGGAGAAAGGGAAAGGTCTACCATTAATAAAGGAATGTATGATTTTATTGGGAATGAAAATAATATTAGACATGCTAAAATTGAGCCCAGAAAAAGATATTTATTTAGGAGGGATGGCATTCATCTCTCAGATTTAGGTAATGATTTTTTACTGGAAGATTTCAAGATCAAAATTCAACAAAGTATCATTTAAAGTTTGATGACATTTTTTATAATTATTTATTATGCATTGATGATGCTGACAAACAGTCGGATCGTCTGATTGTTGTCAATTTCTTTGTCTGTGTGTAATAAATAAACAAATGTTTTTATTTCAACATTATTCTTTTTAAAACTATGTAAGCTCTACATGTATATGTGTTAATATTTTAAAACACATAAACATTTTTATGACATATATATACATAGCCTTTCAAATATGAGGGGGAGGAATGTAGTAAAGTATAATGTTTTTATGATCGGGCTCGAGATCCCAATATTCTTACTCTGAGTGGTTGTCAACTATAAACAATAATCTTCAGTTGCATCGTAGACCTGACAGTGTTAACACACCATAAATAACCTGGGAGGTTTTGCAGCTCTTTGAGTTCACCTGCATAGGTGTGCATAGGTGAGCTATCTCTTTTATATTTGTATATAGTTATACAAATACAACAATAATAAAAATGACAGGAGTACATGTATAATGTCCTGCTTTGGGGTATAATGACCTGATTTGATATGTCCTTCATAACAATTTAAATTGGTATTTATATTTATATTCTGTTTTTTTTTTTTTTTTTTTTTTTTTTTTTTTTTTTTTTTTTCATTTCATAAGATTTTTTAAGATTGAAATTAATGTGTTCACATAAAAATTGGGATAAATATATATTTATTCTTGGGAATTTCATTTTTCATCTTTTTGTACTGGATGTCAGTAGAGATATATAAAGGCTCACAATTTGGAGAAAATGACAAATAAGGCTGGTTTGACAGTGAAAATGTGATAAATGTTTACTTAATCATTAATAAATTTTGTACAAGATGTTTTCATCCATATTATCTTTTTGAATGAAATTTTTTATTCCTAACACATGACCTTTTAAGAGAGACCATGCAATGTGATTTTTTAAGGAATGCTGTAAAATGATAATAATTAAGAAAAAATGTGGAAAACATAATCGTCACTTAATGAATTGAACTGTCATATCAGTAATGTGGTAGCTTTTTTAATCAATGGATGCTTCATCCTGAGTTTCTTTTATATCTATAAACAATTATGAAAACAATAACTTAATATTCAATTATTTTGCTCTTTAACACAAGATAATAAGTGCATTTTGAGTAACATTGAGGTAGGTCATTATTGTATTAAGTAAATCCCTTTTGCTATATGTCTAATGCCCTGTTCACACAGAGAGTTTAATTCGCAGTAAATTAATGCGAAGTGAAATAATGTGAATTAAAATAATGTGAATAAGAATGCATTCGGATAACAGCAAAAGCGAAGTAAGCTGATGCGAATTAAAATTTTGTTTCTAGGCTACGATAGCTTTTCAGTAAGGCTATTATGACATCATTTGTAAATCATGTCATGTATGCAGAGCAGATCATTTGACATAACATATATAATCATAGTGACTGTATACATTTTAGTGATTTACATTACTTTCCTTTTTTTCAACCAAAAATAGCACAGATACATAAATCTAACCACTGACATGTGGCCTGTGCCTTAATTCTGGCCTACGCATGCGTCAAAATTTAATTCGAGTTAGCTTCGCTTAGCGTTCACATGGAGCTAATGCAATGTAATTTAATGTGCAGTAAATTAATTCGAATTAAACTAATTCACACTAAATTCTCCATGTGAATGCACTTCAAATTTAATTCGCAGTAACTTGACGTGTTTAATTCAAACAAGAAGTCTGTGAGCCAATGCTCACTAATAATACCCCCGCTCTGATGTGAATACACAAGTTCAGTTATGGACAAACACAGTGATAATCAGGAAGTTGACATCGGATTTGTAAAAACTGAATCCCAACATATGGCATGCCTAAACAAAGAAAAAATTTCAAGCATCTGCGAAGAGTAGTTGATGAGAAAACTACGACCAAAATTTATTATGTATGGTACGGACAGATGCACGGATAAACAGGAAGTTGACATCGGATTTGTTCCAAAAATGAATCCTATTATATGGCATGCCTAAACAAAGATTGTGCTAAAATTTCAAGCATCTGCAATGAGTAGTTGCTGAGAAAACTACGACCAAAATTTGTTATGTATGGTACGGACAGACGCACGGATAAACAGGAAGTTGACATCGGATTCGTAAAAAAATGAATCCCACCATATGGCATGCCTAAACAAAGAGTTTGTTAAAATTTCAAGCACCTATGATGAGTAGTTGCTGAGAAAACTGCGACCAAAGTTTCTTATGTGTGGTACGGACAGACGCACTGATAAACAGGAAGTTGACATCGGATTTGTTCCAAAAATGAATCCCACCATATGGCATGCCTAAACAAAGAGTGTGTTAAAATTTCAAGCACCTGTGATGAGTAGTTGCTGAGAAAACTGCGACCAAAGTTTGTTATGTGTGATACGGACAGACGCACGGATAAACAGGAAGTTGACATCGGATTCGTACAAAAATGAATCCCACCATATGGCATGCCTAAACAAAGAGTTTGTTAAAATTTCAAGCACCTATGATGAGTAGTTGCTGAGAAAACTATGACCAAATTTTTTTATGTATGGTACGGACAAACGCACGGATAAACAGGAAGTTGACATCGAATTCATACAAAAATGAATCCCACCATATGGCATGCCTAAACAAAGAGTGTGTTAAAATTTCAAGCACCTCTGATGAGTAGTTGCTGAGAAAACTTCACTCATATGGAGACACCGCGTGGTGCAGTGGTTAGAGCGTCTGCTCTAGAGTCGCGAAGTAAGGAGTTGATCCTTACGTTTGAATCCCACTGTGGGACGTGGAGACCGGTCCTTCGGATGAGACTGTATAGACCGAGGTCCCGTGTCACAGTAGGTGCTGGCACGAAAAAGATCCCTCACTGCTCAATGGCCGTAAGTGCCGAGTATAGGACAAAATTTGCAGCTCCCCACCGGCAAGTGGCGGCGTCTCCATATGAGTGAAAAATTCTTGAGAGGGATGTTAAACAACACACAAACAAACAAACATATGGAGACACCACCACTTGCTGGTGGAGAGCTGCAAATTTTGTCATATACTCGGTACTTATGGTACTTACTACTGTGTCACGGGACCTCGGTTTATAAGGTCTCATCCGAAGGACCGGTCTCCATGTCCCACAGTTGGATTCGAACCCTCGACATAAGGATCAACTCCTTACTCCATGACTCTAGAGCAAAAGCCACGTGGGCGACCTGATGCATCACAGTGTAATGGCAAATGTAAGGTAAATGCACATGTGGGTGGTCAGCTATTATAGATACTTGTGCTATTTTTTAGTGAAAAACAAAGGAAAATTATGTGAATGAAATGTGTACAGGTATTAGCCTATTACATTCTGTCAAATGGATCTTCTTTGCATAAGGTGACGTGATTTGAAAATAATGTCATAATAGTCTGACTAAATAGCCTTACTTGTAGAAATTAAATTTTAATTCGCATTAGTTTAGTTCGCATTAGCTGTCATTTGAATACAATTTAATTTGCATTAGTTTAATTGTATTAGTTTAATTCGCATTATTTTGCTGCAAATAAAACTTTCCATGTGAACAGGGCATTAGAGCAGATCAGAATATATTCAAGCTGGCTCCACGAATATCCTCCTTAAGGCTTTAAGCTAAATTTAATGAGTTACAGTCCCTGAAACGTTCTACTTTCCCACTTGAACGGTGAGCGAACGCTGAACGAACGGTGAACGAACGCTGAACGAACGCAGAGCGAACGGTGAGTGAACGATGTGTGAACGCTGAACGCAACTTGGTGAACGATATGTGAACGGTGAACGGTGAGCGAACGCAGAACGCGAACGGAGCGCAAACGCGAACGCAAAGTGAACGGTGAACGAACGGTGAACGCAAGATGAACGATATATTCGGAATGCCTCTGATCTTTTCCTTGCATTGAAACTATTTTATTGAATTATAATGTTAGGTGCCCCAAAAAATAAATAAATAAATAATAAATAAGTAAACCAATAAATGAATGAATAAATAAGTCAATAAAATAAATTCTCCAAAATTGTCCTAAGAAAGACGATGCATGCACATTAAGTTTTAATCACACGACTTTTATCGCATGAAAACATTGCAATTGTTGCCGAACGCTGAAGTATAAACAAATCAGAGAAAACTTCTGACTTATAGAATGAATTAAAGCGGTTGTAACATCCATTCACATATCTCCGTGTCAGGTCGATTTCGTGTAAGGTAATGAAAAAAAAATAATTACAAAGGTCAGTGGACGTTTTGCATTTATAAGCTCGTATATTAAATTTTTAATACAATAATATATTATGTGTCATTTCTATTTTTCATGATGATTTATTGAGCAGACTTCTACATGTATATGTAGATGTCCGTGGTTATACTCGGACAAGATAGTACAAAGGTACATATTCATATTATTTGTTAAAAATTCAATTTTCGGAACTTGATACTAAAGTAATATGCTGTTATATATTTATTAAACAGACAAATGAGAGAGAGAGAGAGAGAGAGAGAGAGAGATTCCGTTTCAGCGCCCCCACCCCTCCTTTCAGGCTTCACTAAATGTTTGTACCTATATCAAACAAAAACTATGAATTTTTTTCTAAATATATCAGACAGTTAAAGTAACTTTTTTTTTCATCAACAAATCATATCCATTTGTATGACAGTCATACTCGTTTTTATTTTCCTGCTTCAATTAACACGAAGTCCACGTGCTTGTCCTGTCAATCAAAATCATTCGACACTGTGCAGGTGTGAAAGTTTCGTCACATCGAAGACGAAGTGCGAGTATTTCCAACAAGTTAGAACATTTATTTTTATCATTGCTAGATTGGATCTCAACATTTGAATAATAAGTGAATAAAATACATTGGGCATTAACACTTGAATTTGAAACATACTCTCTGCCAATTTCAAATACCACCGCCGACACGTGTACATTTTGAACTACTATGTTTTGTGACTTTTTTAGATGCATGTTTGTTTTGAGACTGAAAGTTTTGTTCT